TAATGTCACCTAGGGCTATGTGTAGATAGAGAAGGGTGAGGACTTATTCCAGTATCACACCAAATTTTAGAGGGCACAGGAGAAGAATCAAAGACAGAGTAGTAGAGAAATGAAAAAGAGTGTTGTGAGGCAAGATAAATACATAAATGTTTCAAGGTTGTAATGATCAACTTCTACATACTACTGAATATTGAAAATTGATTATTACACATATCAATTTAGAATTCATTATGGATTTTACCACAAATAAATTGAGTAGAACTCTGGGTAAAAAAGTTGTGACATTGAGAGAAGATGGAATGTGATCAAGTGAAAAGACTTCAGGAAAGAGAACATAAATCTGGATAATAATCTGAAATTCAATTATGTACTTCCTTAACTCTAAATGGTACAACCTTATTATTCATGACTGAAACATTGTATACATCAGCCAAACTGTAGACACCAATGAAAGGTGATAAGCTATACCAAATGGTATCTTAGTAGAATTTATGAGTGCTGTTAGTTTGCTTTTTTGGAAGTGTAAGATTTGCTACTTCCAGAGAGTAATTCCTACTGTAAAAATATTAGTGACTTGTTAGCTAAGCAACAATTGTAAGTTTTTACTATATGTTAAGTGTATCTACTATAATTACACTTGAAATATTGGAGAAATTATCATGTGATAACCTCTGGACATTACTAAGATTTCCAGTGGACTTGTGTCAAAACACTTCTTATTACCAATCTTCTGGAAGGTTACCTCTATCAAGTTATCCAGAAAATAATATTGATATTATTGGGTTAGGATTCATTTTCAATGATTTCTGAAAGATTGCAAGCATTTTTTTCCTTTCCCCAATAAATCAACACCTAGATAAATAGCCACAGGACACTCAGCTGAAGGTTTGAAGTACGTTAAGGGTACAATTATAGGTTATCACAAGGACCTTTGTCAAATGTTTCAGTCTCACCTATACTTTCTCTGTGATTATGGATTCATACTATAAAGAACTCAGATATAGAGACAAGATTATCTACTGTGATGATTCATGTGGGATCTTTGTATACACAGTATCTTGATTGCTTGTTGGTTGTATTATTACTTGTTCAAAAGCAGTAGGATCTTGTTTGCTTTCTAGTTTTTTTAATTACTTTGAGTAATATGTAATATTTTACACCTGGATGGGGCCCCATGATATATTGCAACACATGCATATCATATTAACTCAAAGTAAAGTGTTTTTATCATTCCAAACTCTGCTATTTTCATTGAAACATAAAGCTTATTTCAATCAACTGTCCCACAGTTGATTCACAATCACAAAGATCTACCCCTATTGGTATAAACCTCAGTGATTATAATGGGAATGTTTTCTACATTTTTTACAAATTTTTAAAATATGAATTGATTGCTACTATATGCTATACTCTGTTGAAGATTGAATTAATATTAAAAAATGAAAATGACAAAAAGATCTGTTTCTAGATGGCTTATGTTCTGATTGAAGAACTCAGAAGAGTGAATTTTAAAGTAGAAAGTGAAGTATTTTACTAGAAATTTATATGTGTTTTGAAAATAAATAATCTGAACTTGGCAATAAGTGATGGAAAACGATGATGTGAGTTCATTAAGATATTTAGGGATGACTCCATAGAAAATGCAGCATTGGAGACAAGACACAGAATGTCAAAGAATGTCCCTGTGGAATAGTGTCAGGTATGGGGAGTTGACAGGAGAAACAGCAAAAGGTCCTGAGGTGAGACCTCACTGGCGTATTTGACAATCAATAAGTGATCCTGAGGCTAAAATGGGAAAAATGTGACAGAAGGCGAAAAAAGAAGGGAGTGGAGGTTGGAGAGTAGATCACATTTAATTCATTCACATCCTCCACCACCATCTCACCTCTCTCTTAAACAGATTTAAAATGTTTCCTTATAGGACTATGCCACACATTGACACCAGGACAAATGAAAGGGCAGAACAGCTATTCAAAACATATCATGAATGTCTCTTTGACTTGTTACTAAGGACCACATATGTAAGCTTTTGAAATGGGCCTTTTCCCATGAGGATGTGTATCTGTAAGTTCATTTGAGTTGTTCTGTTGACCAACAGTGGATTCCTTACGTTGCTGAACACTGGGATGTGTGGATCAGCCACTGTTTATTCACTCATTCAGGAATAATTCAGCATTTCCATTTTTGGACCATTACAAATGGAGCTAGTAAAAACATACATCAGTAGAATTTTGTGTGATCATGTTTTGATTTCTTTACAATAAATGCTCAAGAATCCAGAGTCACATGCATATTTAGTTTAGTTTTTTTTTTTTTTAAAGAAGCTACTGAATAGTTTTCCACAGTCTTTACTATTTTACATTCCTACCAGGAATGTGAGTTTCTCAATAATGTGCCAACATTTACTGTTACCACTTTTTCAAAAATTACATTCATTTCAATAGATCTGTAGTCATATATCATATATTTAAAAATCAATAGACATTATTGTTACAGTATTTTTAAGTGTATAAAGAATATATAAAGAGAACAATAATCTCAAATATGCCTGTATGTCATTGTATACTAGTAGTATTGACATCTACTTTAGTAATTTTCCAACTTATTCTTACAGTCCCTTATTTCCAAGGTATAAAATCCTTTTTCTATAAATTTCTAAGGGATTTTTGTTAATTTTATTTTAAATTGGTAGTTGTTGAGTTCATGTTCAGAAAATGAAAAAGAAAGATAATAATATCTTGGTTTTAATAATAGTATATTAAATCCAAATTTTTACATGATAAAATAATTACTATTGATGCATATATCTCTAGTAAAATGTTTTATTCCTATTGGGCCTCTCACATCAAAATTCAATTTGTAGTTGTATTCTATATTTTATATTTGTTGTGTTTTATATCAAGTATATAAATATTTATGTTTTCCTTTATATTTCTATGTAATTATTTTTTTACATTGACTTTGAGTTTGAATCTACATACTGATCCATTCTGAGATCAGACTTTTGTTACATGTTTGGACAAATGAGGAGTAATGGAGATGAAGTTAACTTCTTGCACCCCAGGGTACTCAAGAGATTATTCAGCAAAATGATTATTGAGGCTGAAGTACTATCATTGCACAGTAAGGAAAAAGGCACTAACAAGAAATTCTTGTCAATTACTATGTCTTGTGTTCTGGATAACTATTATATATACACATATATACATATACATATATGCGTATATACATTTTATATATACACATATATATACATATGCATATATATACACATACATATATATATATATATATACATTTCTACTCTTGGCATCCTGGTTTTCATAAATCACTATGTTATCCTTTCTTTACTAGGGTTTTTGGATGATATGAATTGAACTAATGCTGAAATATAGGTAGATATTTCAAATGCTAGAGTGAGGAAATCCTTTTGATACTCTTTATAACTCCCTAGTCTCTCAATGCCTTCAGGAATACAAGTGGAAAATTTAATAACTTAGATATCCATCTCTGTAATAAATGATGGAAGCCCAGGCTTGGGAAGCATTTGGAAACAACAGCATATATACAGAGGGTAAATTCAAGATACTAAATGATGTCACCATGTGAGTTACTATATAGACAATATGAAAAGGCTGAACTCTAAGCTGCTTTTTGGTAAAGGATTTGGGGGATGGAGGAGTCACAGCAAAAGACTGTAAATCAGAATCAACAAAGGAGAAAAACTAATAAAGAGGTTTCCAATTCCACAAAGCCAGAGGAATCCTGTTTAGCACCCATCAATTCTGTACTTATACACCCTTATATGTAATCCTATACATCTGTTATTGTATTAAAAATAAAAAGGATATGAATCTTTAAATTCTTGCAGATGGAACAAAGAGAACTAACAGAATGAAATGTCCAGGTTTAACAAATCAAAATCATAGTCATTGTTGATGTTGACAAGAACAACATCAGGTGAACGGTAATGGAAAAAAAAATATCAAGAGTGATTTTAAGATAAATTGGAGGGCAACATTCACCTTCCTGGAGTTCAGGAAATTCTATTAATAATCTCTTTTCAAAACAGAACAGAGGCAAGGTACAATCTCAAGGGAAATGAAATTAAGCAATTGTTCTCATGAGGAAAATCATAGCAATGATCTAATCAAGAAACAGAAATTCTGGAACACGAAGATGTATCCGTGTGCTGATAACACAAGAGGTGATTAAGTAATGATAGTAGGTTAGGCTTTGAGTAAGTTCTTGAACAGATAATTCATAGAATAAATAAAAATGGCAGAATAAGTTGTGAGAATGTATGATTTTTTTTAACTTTTATTTAATAAATATAAATTTCCAAAGTACAGTTTATGAATTACAATGGTTTCCCCCCCATAAGTTCTTTTTTTATTTAATAAATGTGAATTTACAAATTGCAACTTTTGTATTGTTGTGACTCTCCCTCAACCTCCCTCCCTCCCACGGTCCTCCCCTCTCCCACTCCCTCTCCCATCCCGCCCTTCATCGAGTTTCATTTTCAATCACCTTCATATACAGAAGATCAACTTAGTATACACTAAGCAAGGATTTCAACAGGCTGCACTCACACAACAGCACAAAGTATAGGGCATTGTTCAACTAGTAGTGTTGTTTTTAAGTTTCATAGTAAAACACATTAAGGACAGAGATCCTACGTGGGGAGCCTGTACTCAGTGACTCCGTTGTTGATTTAACAATTGCCACTCTTATTTATGACATCAGCAATCACCCGAGACTCTTGCCATGAGCTGTCTAGGCTATGGAAGCCCCTTGAGTTCACCGACTCTGAACTTGTTTAGTCAAGGCCTTATCACAGTGGAGGTTCCTTCCTCCCTTCAGAGAAAGGCGCCTCCCTCCTTGATGGCCTGTTCCTTCTGCTGGGGTCTTGTTCACCAGGATCTTTCATTTAGATTGTTTTTTGCCACCGTGTCATGGCTTCCCATGCCTGTGAGACTCTCATGGACCTTTGAGCCAGATCCGAATGTCCCAAGGGTTGATTCTGAGGCAGGAGTGCTGTTTTGGGCATTTGCCATTCCATGAGTCTGCTGTGTGTCCTGCTTCCCCTGCAGGATCATACTCTCCCTTTTAATTCTATCCTTCATTGTTTGCTTACACTGGTCTTATTTGTGAAATTTCTTCAACACTTACCCTATCTTTTTGGTCGGTTGTGTATTTATACTTATCACTTTACCAAGTGCACTGGCATTGGTACCTGCCTCCTTGGTAAGATTGAGCTGAAATCCCCTGGCACATTTCTAGTTCCACCATTGGAGGTAAGTCTGAGTGAGCATGTGCTGACCTATATATCTCCTCCCTCTCTTATTCCCACTCCTATGTTTAACAGAGATCACTTTTCTGTTAATTTTAAATACCTAAGAATGGTTGTGCATTGATTACAGAGTTCAACCAGTGGTCTTATGTAGAACAAAGGGAGCAACAACAACAACAACAACAGCAACAAATGATTAAGAGAATCCAGGTCTGCAAATCTTTACTAGATATACGAAGTAGAATGAGTACCCAATTATCTTGTATATTGGCTTGCGAAGCTGGAATTTGTAAAAATTCCCACAGGTATTGTGGGGAAAATCTACAAGGACAGGATCCTGAAAGACAAAAATGAGTACTGTTTTTAATAGCTGTCCTGAACAGAGGAGTCAAAGAGTGTTTTTTTGTTATCTGAATGTGCTAAATTTTGTCTCAATTATCCTGACAGATTTCCTCTGCTTATATTCAGTGTCAGAAGCCAGACACCACAACCCATTGTTAAACTTTTTCAAATTCTGTATTGGTCTTCTATATGTAACACTTGTATTTAACCCATGTTAAACAGTTTTTACCAAAGTTGTCTCTTTAAAATACTTAGGATTAACTTATATTTATTCCTTATATTTACTATTGATTTTCTATTCCCTAAATATTAGACTCATGATATCTTTCATACTATTTAAATTTTGTCTACATTTACTATATGTTTGTTATTGAGAGATTATACAAAATGATTCAAAGATTATCCGATGACTGAAAATTTTGGAAATTTTATAAAATGTTAGATAGACTTTTTTTTAAAGAATCTTCCAATGTATTTTTAAAAGATGTATTTATTTATTTGAAAGTCAGAGTTACACAGAGGAGAGACAGAGAAAGAGAGGGAGAGAGAGAGGTCTTCCATCTGCTGGTTCACTCCCCAACTGTCTGTAAAGGCAGGAACTGTGCTGATCTGAAGCCAGAAGCTTCCAGGTCACCCACACAGGTGCAGGAGTCCAAGGACTTGGGCCATCTTCTAATGCTTTCCCAGGCCACAGCAGAGGGCTGGATAAGAAGTGGAGCAGCGGAGACTCAAACCGGCGCCCTTATGGGATGCTAGCACTGCAGGTGTTGGCCGCTCCTGATATGCCGCAGCGCCAGCCAATCAGATAGTCTTCAGTTAAAATATTTTAATAACCTTTTCAAGTTTCTTTTACTGAAGGTAACCAGCTAAAGATTCAGGGCTGCTTTTATTAGTCAATGAATTATATTAATAAAAGATAGTGTGAATTTAGCTCAGAATTTAGCTGTGTCAATTTTATGTGAATTTAGGACAGAAACTGTCTTGTTTTATGTGACTAATCAAGCTTTCCTTGTAGTATTATTGAAAATATCATATCATTCTGGGAAAAAGTGAGCAAATACCATTTTCCCTAATCTCTGTTGAAAGTCAATCAGTCTCATGTAGGTGGGATTTTGGTGGTTTGGGAGAGGGAGGAAGGACATGAATATATTGTGTTCAAGATTTTGAGAATTTATCTTCTTGTAATTTCATTTCATTTCCATAGTTTGATATGATATGAATAACTAAACACTGAATTATTCTATTTCTCCTAGTTCAACCTCTTCATATATTGAGAATATTTCTGTCCTTTGTGATACATGGACTTCTCCTATTTAGGACAGATTTTTCAACTTCTTTAGAGTCTTCCTCATTTGTATAATTAAACAGGCATCCCTGAAACATGAAAAGGTAGGTTGTCAATATGAAGAAAGGACTCCATACATTTAATTCTTCTTGTCAGTTAGGTATGTGCATCCAGCATCACTGGACAACAATAAAGCAAAAATATATTTTACAATAATTCAAAGAACTAGAAATTTGGGGCGGTTTTTTAAGACTGCTACAAAAGTCATAGTGGAATAAGCCTCAGTTTATGACTCCAGTATCACATACCCCAGTGCCAGTCCAAGACCTTGGGGTTCTGCTTCTGATCTAGGTTTCTGCTCATGCTCCTGGGAAGGCAGCAGAGGATGACTCAAGTCTTTGAGCCCCTGCCACTCACATGCAGGTTTTGTGACATCAGTGCAGTTTCTGGCTCCTGGCTTCATATGTGCCCAGTGTGGCTGATGTAAGGGTTTGGGGAATGACCTAGTAGATGGAAAATATCTGTCACTACATCTTTCCAATCCCTCACTCTCTGTTGTAAATTGATTGTTATATCAAAATTAGACAGAAAAGAAAGAAGGAAAGAAAGAAAAAAGTAAGAATGTAAGTGGAAAGAAAGGAAGCATCATTGTATCAGGACTGTAAAAAACATATTTTAAATTTACAAGCATAGAAATGATGACATAAAACATTTAGAATTTATAGCTTGTCCTAAATAATCACTCTGTGGAATCTTTAATGTTCATGTTGTCATAAACACACTGCTTATTATTAAAAAAATTTTTGTAAAACTATCAATTTTCTGAATAATCCATGTCAGCTAAGCAAATTTTTAAATTTTATTTGCAAATGATTATTTATTTTTCATCTACTCGAAAGACAGAGTGATTGGGGGTTGGGAGGAAGAGAGAAAAAATGAGATCTTGCAACTTCTGATTCACTTCCCAAATGCCTGCCATAGCCAAGGTTGGGCCAGAAGGAAACCAGGAGCCAGTTCTCCAGTGGACTCCCATGTTGGTGGCCACACCCAGACATTTTATCTATCATCAGATGCTTTCCAGAGTGCAATAACAGAAAGCTAGATCAGAAGCAGAGCAGCCAGGACTCAAACTGTCACCCTGGTATGTGTTATGGGCTTACAAATTGTGGCTTAATGCACTGTATCACAATACCTGCTCAAGATGTATTTTTTATGGAAGCCCAGTATCAACATGTTTAAATCCTGCTGCATTTCCTGATGGTAATGTATATGTAATATTCTTTCAAGGAAGCATTTTTTTCTGTTTAAGTTTTTATACAATATTTCATTATGCTTCAAGTTAGATGACTAATTGTGATAGAATGTGTAAAATTTATCATTTAAAACTGGTAACGATGTAAGAGAGCTTACAGAATAAAATTGATTAGGTTTGGAAAATCATGCCCCTGTATGACTTCATGCCCCTACCTGGCCACACCTGTGTGCCACCGGCCAATCAGAATAATTAATCACTCCCCTTTGGAAGTGGATTAAAAGCCTGAAACAGGTGGGCCTCCCCTTTTGCCCTTTGCCCTTTGCCCTTTTTCTTCTTCCTTGCTGCCCTGAATCCCCTTGCTGCCCTGTGCCTTCAGGGCACGGGACCTTCGGGGCCACCTGCTCCATGCTTCCTGGCCAGCATGCTCTTCCACGTGGCTGGCTCCTACCTGGATTCCCCTCTCTTTTAGATAGGGCCCTCACTCTCCTATGCATGTCTCTCACTGAATAAAAAGCTTAAAAACTTATCATGCTGCCTGGATTATTTGTACCAGTATTCAGAATTCTTCTCTGAATATGAGGCAAGAATCCACACAGCTTTTAATCTTGAATTATTAATAAGCAAGCCAGTAGCAGTAAGAGACATTTTATAAGGCACATTCTATATGGGAGATAATTGATTGTATCTTGTATTTTTGTGGGGAATGTGAGGTTGCAATAAATATAAATGTTTTGAATTAAGTAAAATATTTCCTATTTTACAGATGGATTTACTATAGGAAAAATTCTTAAGGTACTGTTTGTGAAAATGACTCTACTTACCTGATTAATTGGCTAATTCTTGTTCTCAAGTAAGGCACTTAATGGTGCTTAATCTTTAAATGTCAGAATTTATGGAATTAATTAACTGAAATCATTATAGCACTTTAACATTACATATTACTTTCCCAAATGATTATCTCATTGACCTTATTTGATGTGATATAATAACCTTGCTCTTGAAATAAAATTGCAATCTTCATAAGAGAGAATTTTGAGAATTTTTTTATTATCTCACTATAAAAATTGAGGATATTGGCAAATAAATCTGAAGAAACAAAACATGATAGGTATTTTTATACTGATTAGGAATCATAAAACAAAGTATTTTAATTATTGATTATAAGTTTTGTCTCATTAAGACCATGAACTGTATGATAGATTTCATGGGTATCTTGCTCATGTTCTGTCATTCTGCATCAGACTAACTGCCAGTCTTTGCGTTTTCTCCCTGAGGGTGTTCTCTGCTCTCTGGACACTGCTGTGTCCATACCACACAAAGTGCCATTGAACTAACACAACCCTGGGAGAAGCTTTCAACCAGTGATGGATGGGAGCTGATGTGAATAGACCCCAGGCACTGCCTCCAGGTGAGATAACTCTGAGCTGCGGGCTTTAAATGGAATCTTATTGTTCCAAACCAGGATTTATCTTCTGTTTTTCACCACGAAAACTTGCTTAATAAGGCACTCTGATTTGGCTTCTTTTCCTTTCCTGTCTCTTCCCCACTCTCTACTATCTGTAATGCTTGGATACACCTTCAAAATAAATTTTATGAAAATTTTGAGTATTTTAGTTTGCTAATGGGGAAACTCAAGATAATGCAAACTGTTAAGCCATGAAAAATCATGTGCAACTTTCTTTCAAGTAAGGTCCATAATAAGCAGCAGGAACACAGGCTTCCTTATTTTATAATAATATTGGGAGAATTAAGTTAGTAAATAACTTCTAATCTGTGTCAGAGAAAACACTAAAAGAGAATATTGGTCACGGGGAGAATTCAGGCAGGGACTTCTTTACTCGAAGTTGATGATGAATTCCACTCATCAGATTTCCCTTTGTGATCAGGAAACTAAAAATAGAAGCTGCATTGTATGAGCCATTAGTTCGCTTGCTTGCTTGGCATATCTGCCATGATTTTTTGCTTTTGTAAATGAAATATTAAGATGTTATGTTTCCTTTTCCAAATATCCCATCCTTTGTCTTATTTCAGAGTGAAGTAGAAGTGATTGGGTTTATTATTAATTTTGAATGCAGTACAATAATTGTTTTATTACCTATTAGAAATGTTTCTCCTATACATGCAAAATCAACAAAACCAGAAAAATGCTAAATTTCAAGGAGGAAAACAATAAATAGAAAGGTGGATTTTTTTTTCAATCTGTAGGTTCCCAGATCTGTCTGCTCTGCTTATGGGAGAAACAACACAATATGTTGCATCCTTTTTCAGAGCTATAATTACATGCAAGGTTTTGTAGGTATTGTCACCTTGTTAATGAATCTGCAGTTGTTAATTCAATAATTTTGGATGGTCGGCTTATCTAAGTTCCTGGTCCATTGTGTGCATGAACCTGTTTAGACACTGTATTGGCTATGTTTTTACAGAAGCAGTACAAATATAGAAAACCTTCATGGTAAATGCTGTTTTGGTTAGTACAGGCATAGTTCTGGTAGAATCATTGTGGGCAGTGCAATGGTTTATTCCAGTGAGAAGCTCTCCTATAACAAGGAGTCATTCAGTCCCTAAAAAGTAGGGTGATTCTAGGTTGGCTTCCAGACCATCATCAGCTCAACTGGTGTAGGCAGGCACATACACAGGTTAAAATTGATTAGGTGTGTGAGCTGGAAGACCACACCTTCACCATGCCCCTGTGTGACCTCATGCCCCTACCTGGCCACACCTGAGCACCCACTGGCCAATCAGGTTAATTAATCACCCCCCTTTGGAAGTGGATTAAAAGCCTGGGAAACGGTGTGCACGCCCCTTCCTTTCCTTGAAAACTTGCCAGTATGGGGCTTGCTGCAGGCCTGAGCCTCCAGGGTGCGTGGCCCTTGGGCCACCCGCCCCATGTTTCCTGGCATAGACCCTCTTCCACATGGCCCCTTCCTGGTACTTGGTATGAATCCAGATTTACCCCCCTCTCTCTTAGATAAAGCCCTTACTCTCCTATGCATCTTTCACACTGAATAAAAAGCTTAAAATGTACCATGTAGCTTTGTTCACTTATGCCAGTATTTAGAATTCTTTTCTGAATATAAGGCAAGAACCCACTCAGGCTTATTAATACTGGGAATTTATTAATAAGCACACTGTGATATCATATTGCACCCCAAATTCCGGTTCCACAACCAGTAAGAAATCAACGAGTCCAGCTTCATTTAGGTAGTTCATTTCTCATGGGGAGCAGGAAACAGGATGCTTGCATTAACTCCCTCTGTTTCTCAGGTTCCATGTGTCTGAATTATAAGGAACTCAGGTAAACACCTCACATAAAGGAACCAGTGTACAAGCTGAGGAATACTGAGCTTAGCCAACTTCCAACCTTGCAAAAGGACAGCTAGAAAACCAAGCCTATTATCCCTGAGGAAGAATACGTCTTTTTATATTAGATGGGAAACAAATCTTCTCTGACCCACAGAAAAAAAAAAAATAATCCTAACTTTAGCTTCTAAGGAAGTTTGCTGTAAGAATAATCTTGAAATGATATTCCTGAAGGGAAGTCGGCTCAAGACAACTAAGATACCATGAATTATTGACTCTTCCATGATAAGAAAGACAGTGTAATCAGTTTATTGCCAGGCGTTGATTAATCGTGCCATAGAAGATGATTATCTTTGCTCTCTTCTTTTCAAAAGGTGACTACTTAAAAAATGCAGTGTTAGGTTAGGAAGATAAAAATTGGCATATATGTGAGAAAGGGGCCTAAGGCCAACAAAGCACCAGCAGAAAGAAATGTACCAGTCTCAGAAATATGCCTGGGAGGCAGCTGAATATTTTATGCTGATATCCCCAATAGCTTTATAAGGTGGTCCCAGCCTTCCCCTCAAGAAAAACACATAGGAGAATCATCTCTGTCCAGGAGAAAGTGGGCTACCTTCTAGGATAACATTGGATAAGAAGATCTGATGTTGAATTTCAACAATTTGTCATCCAGGGAATCCTTTGTCAAGGAAAACAGGGTAAGCAGAAGGAAAAACAACAGGAAGAATGGACGCCATACACTCAGAAGCTCAGTCTGAATGCGAACTGGATTCTCAGTTCTTTGCTGAGATTTCCACCTGGCTTCTCAGGTATAGTCTCTTTTTTAAACATCCCTATCTGGCTTACCCCAATCTGAAAGCAGACTGGGCACCCTGTTCTCACAAATGCATTCTCCCATTAAACTTTGCTACCTTGCTTGTTGCTACTCTATGTCTCCTGTCTGGAATTCTTTTCTTACAGGTGACAAGAACCTCTATGCCAGCCACCACATTATCAGTAATACTAGATAAATATTGATATGCAGAATCCCAAAATATGAGCTGATTCATTATTAGAATTACAGTTTTCTCTACACTACCACTTTGCTAATATTACTGAGTAACACTAGGATGTCTGGAAAAGCAGAGAAGCCAGATAAAAACAATTTGCATATTTCCCATTATTAAACAAGTCATCTGCAGGGTAAACATTTTGGTGACCATCCTTTCTTTTTATTCCATCATTAAATTTCTATCTTTCTACCTCTACCTCTTCCAGTGGCCCTCCAAATATTCCTGAATTCAGTCTTACTCTTTTACAACCCTGACCATCTAGGTTAACCATTAAGTGGCTGTCCACGAATGTAATTGGGATTCACACTTTTAGTTGTTTTGTAATTATGAACAAATGAGATATATATGTCAAAATCCTATGGATACTACTTCAGCTTCCCCTTCCTCTGTTTAGGGCTTTAGTGTTCCTGAAATCCACATGTATGGGGCAAGCATTCTGCAGATATCAATATGTAAGTAAAGCCCATGAGGGCAATAGGGTCTGGGGAAAAGGTGCCAGTGCAGTAGCTATGGGTGGTTTTAATGCTGAATGCACTTGATTATACCTACAGTATCTGCTTAAAGCCAATTTTTCTATATTTTAGTTGCACATAATATTGGAGTGGACTGTACATAGTCCACTCTTTACCTTGATAGATAACTTAATAAAAGGCATCTCAGTTACACTAATTCAGAAGTTTATTCTTTTTATGACTAACAACAATTTTGATGAAATATGTCAAGAGGAAATTACTGGACAAAATTATCTAAATTTTCTCTAAAAATTTAGGAGTATTATTATGTTATTGATTTTGTCAGGATCTCCATGCAGCAGAAATATATGCTGACAAAAATATGTGAATGATACTTTTTTTTTTTTTTTTTGACAGGCAGAGTGGACAGTGAGAGAGAGAGACAGAGAGAAAGTCTTCCTTTTCCATTGGTTCACCCTCCAATGGCCGCTGTCGCTGCCGCTGCCGCTGCGGCCAGTGCACTGCACTGATCCGAAGCCAGGAGCCAGATTCTTCTCCTGGTCTCCCATGGGGTGCAGGGCCCAAGGACTTGGGCCATCCTCCACTGCACTCCCTGGCCACAGCAGAGAGCTGGCCTGGAAGAGGGGCAACTGGGACAGAATCCGGCGGCCCGACCGGGACTAGAACCCAGTGTGCTGGTGCTGCAGACGGAGGATTAACCTATTGAGCCGTGGCGCCGGCAAATAATACTGTTTGAAGAGTCTTCAAAAACTTTGTGGAAAAATGTATTATGAAAAAGTTCTGCATTGTTTTTTTTTTTTTTTTTTTTTTTTTTTTTGACAGGCAGAGTGGACAGTGAGAGAGAGAGACAGAGAGAGAAAGGTCTTCCTTTTGCCATTGGTTCACCCTCCAATGGCCGCCGCTGCAGCCGGCGCACCGCGCTGATCCGATGGCAGGAGCCAGGAGCCAGGTGCTTTTCCTGGTCTCCCATGGGGTGCAGGGCCCAAGCACCTGGGCCATCCTCCATTGCACTCCCTGGCCATAGCAGAGAGCTGGCCTGGAAGAGGGGCAACCGGGACAGAATCCGGCGCCCCAACCGGGACTAGAACCCGGTGTGCCGGCGCCGCAAGGTGGAGGATTAGCCTATTGAGCCACGGCGCCAGCCCGAGTGCATTGTTTTAAAAATGATTCAAAAATAAACTTAGCTTTGAGTTATATTTTTGTGAATATTTTGAATATCTGTTGAGTTATTGAACCAAAGTGACAGTATCTACATGACTATCTGAACCTGATGACTTTTCTTTGGTTTGGGTTACAAGAAAACTAATATTAGCAGTCTCCTTCTAGGATCTCCAAAAATTTGTCTTAGTAGCCACATTTACGTGAGTCCACAAGCCTAAATATCTTCATTAATCTTCCTCTATCTTAATAACAGGTCTGAATTACATGGAAATTAATCTTGGGAAAGCTCAAATAACAATTATAAACGTGGAGTAATTACAATACATAAAAATCAGTGAAAAATGCTGAATATATCTAATTTAAGAAATTATCTTTCTGATGCAAATAAGAGATAATAAACAATAGGAGGTTGATGAAGAATTTCAGTAATGAGATAGTTGCTGTGGCAAAAGTACAAACTGGTCCTGCAGTTAAGATTTTATGAAGTGAATATGAAAAGATATATTGACTTTTTATTTAAGATGCAATGACTAACTGGCTTCAATAAATAATAGAGCTTAAATATTTTTACTCTATGATTTTAGATAATGTAACTAATTTTATATAAATTCAGTTATAAAAATTTGTCAAATTGTGAATAAACATTTATAAAAATACATTTAATGCAAACCCAAGAACAAATAATTCTTCACGTATAAATATATATATATATGTTTTTGGGAATAATAAGTTGATATCTAAATTAACACGTTTGTCTAGCAAATGCCATAGGAGTGTATTACTGAAGCATTTTTAAACTTATTAATCTCTTAAATCAGAAAATTTATGTGTATACTTATTAGCGAAAATCTTTTATGCAACTACTAATTTTTGGATGCTTTGGGGAACATTAAGTAAAGACATCAATTTTACTACTATATAGATTTATTCCAAGAAGAAATACCTATAAGCAATTGTGTATTTGTGTAGTTGATACCAGTACATATTAATCCAGTAACTTCTTGAATAATTTGTGGATTATTTTTTAAAAAGCTCCCTTTGCCAATGTCCCAGTCCAAATTCGTATAATTACAAGAATACATTTAAATTCTGTTTGTTCAGATATCATTTACTCAAATGCTTAAGAAATTGCTAAAATAATGTGAAAAAATTTAGCTAGCATATCTTTCACATGATAAAATACATTATTTTTAAATGCAAGTGGATGATCTAATGCGAATATGCACTGATTCATTTTGAATCTCAGAAAAAAAAATACCAGCTATTCATGATGTTCGTGGGAACTGCTATGTCTTTATTCACAATTCAGTTTGTGGACTCTTGGAACACTACATTCAGAATCCTGTGAAACTGCTTTAATGATAACTACTCATGCACTTAGTGCTTCAAACTCCTCATGAATACAGAAATCAATTATATGAACAGGTGCAACCAAGTAACTGGGTTTCATGCTCACTGGGATATGACAAAACTTAAATTTGATAAATTCAGTCCCCAAATAGGTACTTTTATATACAACAATAAGTTAATATACAGTCATTAAAATGTAAATATAGAAATCAAGACCTGGAAAGTGATTGGGAATGCCTCATCACAGATTGTTAAATCATACCAGTTCCATGCATGATTATTTCTATGGATGGAACCAGCACAGAGGCAAAAAAGTAAGCTTTAATCTTTTCACCAATGTTATAGCATTTGCTGAAATGAAGTCTGGTTATCTTCTTTAATAGGAAAAGTAAGACAGAAAAGTATTTTTCATTTATTTTAAGAATTAAGCCCTTTGTTCCTAAATACATGAAATTTGTATACTTTAAGATAAATTAAAAAGTTAAAAATCATAATTAATAATTAAAAAATTAATAAATTAAAAAGTGGTATGCAATATGATAAAAACATGATTAATTTTACCAAAATTAAATGAAGTCAAATTCTTAAAAGCTGCTTTTCTTTAAAATGATAGTACATGAAATAATGCTACTGATTAGGCTTAATATGGTTCACTAAACTGTTCTTATGGAGAAATGATGGAGTCAATGTAAGAAAATCAGATACTGTATTACCTTTATTAATTTGAATATGTTTGAATTAGTTTTGTTTCCTTAATCCAAATGAAACTTTAATTTTATCTGAAATTGGAAACCCACCCAAAAATTAAAATAGTTTATGAGGTCTCCAAATATGTCTTATTTTATTTTCTGATATTCTTTTAACAAAATAATACAATTAAATTACATAAAATTGGGTATGTTGGTGACCTTTTGATTAAGTAGTTTTAAAGATTTGTGTATTTACTTCACCGGCAAAATTACAGAGAGAGAAAGAGGTGTTTCATCCTTTGGTTCACTCCTTAAATGGCTGAAAGACTTTAGCTGGGCCAATCCAAATCTAGGGTTCAGGAACTTCTTCCCTGGATTCCCACATAATTTCAGGACACCAAGAACTTGGGCTATCTTCTGCTTTTCCAGGCCATCAGCAGGGAGCTGGATTGGAAGAGAAGCAGCCAGGACTCGAACTGGTACCCATATGGGATGCTAGAGCTGCAGGCAGATGCTTAACCTCCTGGCCTTTCAAATAAAATATAAGCAAGTGTTTAAAAAATCTTTCTATATTTGATGCATATGCAATTAGAATGCTAGGGAGGTAAGGAGAGAATAGTGTAGCAAAAATGATAAAAGATATATTTCACAATGTTAATAGAAATATTTCAACCATTTGATTAAAAAGCTTCAACAGTGTACAAGTAGGGGAATAAAAGCTAATAATAGCATAATTAAACTTCTGCAAATCAAATAAATAATGACAATCTAAAGCAGTCCACTTTAAAGCAAATACTACATACATAAGAATATTTTGCAAAGAATTGCTAATTGCTAATCAGATACAATGAACAAGCAATAATTGTATTGATATTTTTAAGCATCCAGAGTTCAAGCTAAGCCTACTCTTAATAATACATAAAAAAGTTTATATTTACTTAAGTTAAGGAATTTGTCACAAGGAGAAAGTGTAAAAAGAATGTTTTTGTTTATTACAGCACCATGCACTTAGCTACTATATGCAATCTAAGTGTTCCACACTGGATAAAGATGTGAATACATGCAACACAATGGAACATTATGGGCCATAAACACAAATTCCTGTCAATTGTGACAGCATGGATGAACTTGGAAAACCTTGTACTAAGTGAAATCAGTCAGACACAGGAAGACAAGTACTGCATGATCTCACTCATGTGGAATCTAAAAAAAAAAATTGATTTCATAGAAATGGAGCATAAAACTAAGGTTAGCAGAGACTGGAAGTGCGGTCGATGAATACAAAGTTGCAGTTAGGCAGGAGGAATAAGTTATAGTATTCTGTTGCCCAGTAAGTTTTTCTAGTAAATAATATATCATATATTTGCAAATAGTTAGAAGAATCAATTTTGAAAGTTTTCACTGCAAAACAAATGATAAATGTTTGAGGTGAGGGGTATGCTAATTACCCTGAATTGATCACTATATAAGGTATAACTATCAAAATATCACATTCTACTGCATAAATATATAAATTATACATTAACACTTAAAAAAAAGTATTTTAACCAGAAGGGAAAAAGAAAACTTCTTCAGTCAGGAACACTGAATTGAATTCAACAAGATGCTTTCAGAAGCAATTTTTTGTATCAAGGATCTGCTAGTGTTTATAGTTTTAAGGTATAATACATCATAGAATTTCAATACCGTGTTAACAAATATTCCTTAAAAAGTTACATACATAAGTATTACCCATAAATGGTAAACAAAGAAATCTCTCTAAGTAACTTTGCAGTGAAAATTATCCATTTATTGTAACATGCAGAATCTTCAGTAATGAAAAAACAGTGCTGAAGCCAGAAAAACAATAGAGGAATTTTAATGTTAGTAACAAGAAATTAATACTAAAATATTAGCAGAATATAAAGCACTAGAAGAGGAATGGCAGAGGTGAATAAATGGAAAAAGTAAAAAAAGAAAAAAACATTTAAACCAAACAAGAATGACATTAAATGTTAATGGAATAAATACTCCAGATAAAACAGAGATATTATCAGATGTAAAAACACATGCAAATACCACTTGCAAAACACTGACATATCAAAGACTAACTTTTCAAACTGTAACAGGATTAGATGAGAAAATAACAATTACATAAGCAGAATTCTAATATTTGAACATCTAATGGCACAGAGACAAAAGAAAACATCAGAGAGC